GCAGTTCTTCATGCACACCATCTCACATTCCTTGAGGTTCATACTTCTGTTAAACCAGGATTGTTCTGTGCTAGGCAATTTCAAACCCGAGTACTTTTGGAACACGTCTCCGGTGCAATTTAGAGAAGTTTTTCTCACACAACCATTAGACCAATCTACCAAATCCCATTCTTTCGGAAACTTTGGTGTAAATCCTTTCAAACAGCTACAAACCGGGGACTTTTGAATGTTACATGCACCATGTACACCACATAATGCATAGTTGTCACAGTTATCAATTTGGACTGTTTGGTAAAGAACCCAACCTTGGGTTCTATCAATCCATGTGTAGCGCCGCAGAAGTCCATCTGAAGTTAACATCAACCTCGAAAAGATTGAGCTATTGTGAAGCTTGTAACTGTAGTACATTTCATCAGGCTCAGAAACAAGACTGTACGTGTATATAGGGTTTGGATTTAACTGAGGGTTTCCACTGAACCAGACTCCATTCCATGGTCCAGACCGAAATTTAAGGATCGAACCTTCCCTCACAAATAATTCTGCATATCCTTTGGGACCAAGTTGAGATGTACAATTTCCTTGAGAAGGATCATGAGGACTTTTCCACGATCTAAGATGCCAATTGAAGCCTGTAACTGTGTTCCTACCAATCTTCATACCTGGTAAGAATGTATCGCCAGGGTAATCAAAACTTTGCCACAGAAAGTTCTCAGAGTCATCATCACTCCTATCTATCACGACAAGATTACCCGAATCCAAAAGACGTGCTACTGGATTCTGTGCAGTTCTCGATGTGTTGGAGGACCAAACTGTGCTCATGTTGTGGTTGAGGACAAGAATTCCGGGGTTGGTGACCTTCAAAAAGCCGGACAAATCAGAGAGGGGCTTGTCTCTGTTGGCAACCCATACAATGGTTTTAACAGATATCTGCTTGTACCATATCGCCACGTACCGTCCATTAGAAGCATCAAGATTGTAAAATCCTAGCTCAAACGTACCGCCAGTTGAAACTACAGTCTCACCGTCTCTAATGGACTGAAATGTACTCGTGGTGTCATCAGCTTTGGAGAATACTGCTGCGACGATGAGCAGCAAAGAAGAGTAGAAAAGAAGCAAGCACATCTTAGCTGAAGCTTTTGACGGATTTTTCATAAACTTCATGGGAAAGCACTGAATGTTGAAGGTTTCAATCGTCCGTCTCATTTGAACACCTTATTGAAATAACATTGATACCTTTTTCCTGCAAGCAACCAATCATTTTCAAGTTCAATATTGTTGAATAGTCGGGTGGGTGGGAAGACAAATTGTTCCCCAAAGTGTGAAACTGAGAAAGTTGTCTTCAATCTGAAGTAGACTTCGCATTCGGTTAAGAATGACGTTGTCGTAGCCGGATATTTCACTATGACAACTAAGATATTTTCATCTAGTAGAAAATATCCGAATTAATATGTGGTCATCCAGTTCCCTCGGCTCAAGGGAAACCTAATTTTGAGAGAAAAAGGCATGTGAAAAAGCACATTAGTCTCTAGGTGTAAATCACATTAGTCTAATTATGGCTAGGATAAAAAATCATGTCATAAACTGTGGTAGTTGTTGTTGTAATAGCTTTGAACTTTGTATAGAGAGGAAATTATTTATTATATTTCTCTCTATTTGTTTCTTTGGTGTGTGAGAGCTATTGGTTGTATTGCGGTTTTGGGTTATGAGCTTGCCAACACTTGTAAACTCCCATTTGGTTGATAGTGGATTATTGGGTGAGCTCCTACTGCTCCGAAGACGTACTCCAGTTACATTGACTGGTGAGGAACCTCGTTAAAATATTAGTGTCTTTTATATTTTGTTCTTTCATTCCATTTGATATATTTCATGTGGGTTAGCTTGAGTTAGTTCCAATTGGTTTGGTGTTATCGAAGCACAACAAGAGTGTAAAATCCTAGCTCAAACGTACCGCCAGTTGAAACTACAGTCTCACCGTCTCTAATGGATTGAAATGTACTTGTGGTGTCATCATCTAAGGAGAATATTGCTGCGAAGATGAGCAGCAAAGAAGAGTATAAGAGAAGTTGAAGCTTTCAATGGATTTTTCATTAAATTCATGGGAAGACAAATTGCCCCTCTACACCCTTCTTACATGTATGATTTCGCATTTTTGCTTTCATTTTTTACTTCAATATTGTTGAATAATTGGGAGCAGACATCGGAAGCAGACAAATTGCCCCTCTACACCCTTCTTATATATATTGTCTTAGCAAAATATATAAACTAATATATAGTAGCATTATTGTTGGAAAAATTAGACGAAGAGAGGAACCCCCACATTTGACTTGAATACACAAATGCCAAAAACAGAGTATCAAATAAGAGCATCTCGGATGGGAGAAAGTATGCCTTGTAACCGGTTGTATGTTCCTTTGTGTGTGTCTTTCTCTCTCTCTCCGTGTGAATTTTTTTGTAGCAACAATCTGTCACAACAAGATTTCCGAATCCGAAAGCTGCGCTGCTGGATTCGACGCAGATGTTGGTGTGTTCGAGGACCAAACGCTTGTCTTGTTAGAATCCATACGAACTTTTTTACTTGATTGCTAGAATGGGACTTACAATTCCAATTAACCGAGTGTTGACTGGCCAGCCTGTCCGGGTTCGGTTAGACTTAACTCCATATCATGAGTAGCTGTCCAACCAGGCTCATCGGCTTCAAGGAAACCGATCTTTGCCTTGTTGGGGAGATCATGGGGATGAACAAATGGCACCCGTGTGGCCACCCAATCTCCATTCTTATATTGGCACAGGGGCTATCAAGTGTCTGAATTTGATTCTCACACTCCTTCAGGTTGCACAACCTCAGCTTGATTCTCTTCTTGTCTGCAATGTCTTGAACCCATTCCTTCAGGACTCTCTGTGCCTCGACCCATAATCTCTTGGAAGGTGGCAGAGGTTTGGTTCTTTCACTCTTTCTCCTCCTCAACAAAGGCTCCTTAGATTCTGTACCAGCATTTCATCGATCCAAGGACCTGCTGTTAAAAGCTTCTCACATAAGAGATACACATAAACACGTGCAATCCAATATCAAGAGGACTCAAGAGATGGATATAATTTTAGAAGAGAAAACTAGATTGAAGATCCTTGTTTACGACAGCAGAAATGCGAAAACTATTAAGTAGTTGATGATTTCTATCAATAGAGTTGGACTTAATTTAGCTTATACATTGAACTTATTTTTGGTGTGTGCATGTGCTTCAGTCAGTAAGACCAATCCTAATTAAATTAAGCTGTCATTAAAAAAATTGCATTCATGAAATCAATTTACAGTATGTAACAAGCAGGCAATTGGTAAAGAAGATTAAATGCAACATACCATCTTGTGCTGCATGGAAATTGGAACTTTGGAAACTGTGTCTGTTAAAGAGTTGATTGGTGGGGTGAGATCTCTGCATAAAGTCATCAACCGCTACTGGAAGCTGGAACTGAGCTTCAACCCCATTACCAGCAGCTCTCATCTCTGAACAACTAAGACTGGTCATGGATTTAGGCATGAATTTAAAAGCCAAAGAACATCACCCAAACAAGTTGCTCTGTGTATTAGCAGTCTCCGTTCTCTGCAGTGCAGGGTTAACATATCCTGCAGTTGCCTGATAGAGTGCGAGTCCAGGGTAAACAATAGCTTCTTGAGGACCAAGATCTTCGTCCACAAGAAACCAACGACCCTGAAAGTCCTTTATGTGTAGACCAGCCTTGTCTGACTTGACAAGAGATATCAAGCTTTTGTCAACTTGATGCTCATGGTCAGAAAACATAACCAACTGGCCATCCTCTTGGGTCGTAAAACTATGGTGTTGTGTCCCCTGAAATGATGGCCTTGCATGACAACAGACAGATAATACTGAAGAAGATATTTACCGGTTTCTTAAGGGAACATTATCAAGTACTTCAGTAAATGGTGAGCTCCTCAAGTTCAAATAGAAGCTGATAGCGTCCAATATATCTCGAGCTGCCTTTGCAAGCAGTGAAAATATATCAGGTAAAGCTGCTGGAGGAAATTCCATTGTGTTGTCGGGCTCTAAAGGAGTGAGTCCAGGTCTGTAATCATAGGTTTCTAGCCACAATGGAGGATCTGCATTACAACCGGAGGTCTTGCACCAGTCACAAGGGTCATTGTTATTAACCATATCTGCAGCTGGGTATGATGCTTTCTGGTGGAAGTAGAGGCGAGCCGAATCTAAACCCGACCTCAAAAGTGCCCCATCACTCACTGGAAACTAAATGATGGCAGCAGAAAAGAGTGCTAGTGATTGTGACAAAGTCGAAACAGATAGTTTGTAAGAATCTGATGGAAGGCTTTCAGCAGGTGCCAGATCAGTTAGCTTCACACGACCTAGAGATTGTTGAATAAAAAACCCGCACACTAGACCTTGTTCTTTAATATTTGGTTATTATTTTATTTAATTTATTTGATTTGATGAACGACAATTGAGAGAGTGTGTGAAAAGTAAAATGAGTGTGTAGATAACGTTACTTTTTTTTTTATAAGGAAAACTAATGAAAAGTTCAAAAAAAATTTAATTTTAATGAAAAGGGACAAATAAATATGGAGTGAATAGTACCAAGAAGGTAAAAATATGGTTTTTCATTAAAAGTGACCAGTATCGAAAATGTTTCCTTAAAACTCATTTTTTATATACTATTATTATTTTGGGGAATTCAACAAAAACGTCATAAAACTTATTTTCATAGAATTTTTGTTGCATTGTAAAATTTTTCGGAATTCACTTAAAACATTTCGAAAATGTTCCAATCGACGAAAATTTGTTCTAGCCACATACTAAAATCTGTTGGAATTTTTCTCCGTTGATTTTTATATTTTGGCCTTTAAAATGAACAATGCTTAACCACTTAAAAATGAGATTTCCTCACAAACGGTTTGTTATTGATTGTTTTTATATACCTTAATGACTAAACAATATCATATTTTATTGATTGTTTTTTTTATTTTTTATGATATATTATCTTTACAAATCGATTTATAACATGATAGTTCTGATCATATTCACAAACTTTTGTGAATCGGCCAAAAGAGTGTCACTATGTGACAATGACTCATATAACATTGTCTTCCAATTGAAAAAGTCATAGGAAAATCAAGAGACAAAATAAAGCCATGTGTGCGAAAATCATTTCCAATATTTTATCGAGCCTCAAGTAGTGAAATAGTGACATCATTAGCTGAGCATGCTTTAGAAGAATGACCGGCATCAAGTTCAGTCAAATCCCTTTCACTGTAGAAACCAGGTTTTAGAGGTGGGGGCAATGCACCTTCACCACCCAACATTAGAACTGCAGCCGACATGCTTGGCCTATCTTCTGGATTCCTCTGCACACACAAAAGACCCACATGAATTGTTCGTACAACTTCATGCAAAGTGATGGAGTCCTCTACCGATGTATCAAGCAATTCGAGAGGCCTGCCTTCTGTGTGTAGCATCCACGCCTAAAACATGAAAACTAGTCTACTTAGTGGAAGTAGTAGAATCGAGTAATAAGAAATTTTAACCTGACATTTGATGTTGTCACACTCACATGTCCAAGAAGGTTGAGTTTGTGGTCTGGATGAGAGAATCCTCTATTTCTGCTCCCACTCACTATCTCTAGCACCATAACACCAAAGCTATAGACGTCGGACTTTATAGAGTAGAAACCATCAATTGCATATTCTGGGGACATGTAACCGCTGCAAACCAATATGTCAAAAAATGTTTTTATACGCAAAGAATCTAGACTTTCTAGTTTCTATTAGTGTTTTTGAAAATTCGGAAAAAAAAAAGTCGTACAATTGTGTTTTAGGATACTTACTATGTTCCGACCACTTTCTTCGTTTTTGTTTTCGTTTCATTTCCTCCAAAGCTTCTAGCCAGGCCAAAGTCTGAGATTTTCGGATTAAATTCACTGCCTAACAAAATGTTACTTGCTTTGAGATCTCTATGGATAACTCTCAGTCTAGAATCTTGATGAAGATAGAGGATCCCTCGAGCTATCCCATTAATAATTTCAAAGCGCTTCGGCCAGTCTAATAACATCCTTCTTCTTTGATCTGCAGCATATCATACTTCAGTTCACAATTGTCAAAAAATACATCATGCGAGCATAAGTGGACTAATCAAACTAAATGTAAGGTTTTTGAGTGGTCAAACCGAATATAAAGAAGTCTAAGCTCTTGTTAGGCATGTACTCGTAGATCAGCATCATCTCGTCTTCTTGAATGCAGTATCCAAGAAGCTTCACTAGATTCCTGTGCTGAAGTTTGGCAATATGTGTAACTTCATTCTTGAACTCGTCGAGCCCTTGTTGAGAACTTTTGAAAGCTTTTTCACTGCGATTTCTTGTCCATCTTTCATTGTACCCTGAAATCCATCAGCGTATGTTATGGCCAAAATTCATACTTTATAGTTTGCACACTACTTGTATCCATCATTCCATATTATAATCAGAACTACATCTATCTATGCAACTTGGAAATTGTGAAGGACTATTTGGTTGTACCTTAAAGACAGATCCGAAACCTCCTTCACCAAGTTTGTTTTCACTTGAAAAGTTACTGGTTGCAGAAACTACAGTCATCAAATCAAATAACGGTAATTCAAGATCCTCCTTTTGGCCGCATCCCAGTTTTCCTGCAAAGACACAGTTACAGGGGTGAAAAAAATTCCCTATACAACAGAACTATGTAACTTGTAAAGCAGAGAAGCAGAATAGTATAGCCAACTTACCACCTTTCTGGTGCTGCTTCTTCCAAACATAAAACAGCAGGGCCAGGCCCATGATCAGCAGTCCGGTAGACAACACAGTAGTGCTTATTATGATTCTCATTTTCTTCACATTGGATTCAGAGTATTTAGCGTCGATCTTTGTATTGTCTTCATTTTTTAAAACAGATAATCTATGAGTCAGAGAGTACTGAATAAATAAATAAAAACTCTATAGCGTCTATCATCCAACTAATAGTTGCTAGTTTGTGAGACAATTCTAAAAGAAGATATTGCTAATTGTGTCAAAATTCAAGGTTTAAACTGTTGGAATCAATACAACGTTTCACTTCGTTATGTCTTGACTTTGTTTCAAGCTTTTGATCATGAATAAATGCATATTCACCAACAGGGGTTTTTTACATACCTAGTTCCGATGAAGCCATTCTTATATAAATATCTTGCCCGTTTTCAGCCAAGTATCTTATATCAATTAGATCGCCGTACCACAGCAAACACCCGCTTCCTCCATCTCGGATATCCAAATTTGTATAAGCCGTGCAGGAGCAGTTCTTCATGCACACCATCTCACATTCCTTGAGGTTCATACTTCTGTTAAACCAGGATTGTTCTGTGCTAGGCAATTTCAACCCCGAGTACTTTTGGAACACGTCTCCGGTGCAATTTAGAGAAGTCTTTCTCACACAGCCATTTGACCAATCCACCAAATCCCATTCGTTTGGAAACTTTGGGGTAAATCCTTTCAAACAGCTACATACCGGGGACTTTTCAATGTTACATGTGCCATATACACCACAGAATGCATAGTTGTTACAGTTATCAATCTGGGCTGTTAGGTAAAGAAACCAATCTTTGGTTCTATCAATCCATATATAGCGCCGTGAAAGCCCCTCTGAAGTTAACACCATGTTCGAAAGGATTGAGTTGTTGCGAAGCTTGTAACTGTAGTACATTTCATCAGTCTCAAAAACAAGACCGTATGTGTATATAGGGTTTGGACTTAACTGCGGCATTCCACTGAACCGGACTCCATTCCATGGTCCACTCCGAAATTTTATGACAGAACCTTCCCTCAGAAACATTTCTGCATATCCTTTGGGACCAAATTGATATGTATAATTACCTGGAGAAGGATCCTGAGGACTTTTCCATGATCTAAGATGCCAATTGAAGCCTGTAACTGTGTTCCTACCAAGCTTCGCACCTGGTAGGCATGTATCGCCAGGGTAATCAAAACTTTGCCACAGAAAGTTCTCAGGGTCATCATCACTCCTATCTACCACAACAAGATTACCCGAGTCCAAAAGACGTGCCACTGGATTCTGTGCAGTTCTCGATGTGTTGGAGGACCAAATTGTGCTCATGTTGTGGTTGAGGACAAGTATTCCGGGGTTGGTGATCTTCAGGACGCCAAACAAATCAGTGAGGGGTGTGTCTCTGTTGGCAACCCATACAATGGTTTTAACAGAAATCTTCTTGTACCATATCCCCACATACCGTCTATTAGAAGCATCGGGACTGTAAAATCCTAGCTCAAATGTTCCGCCAGTTGAAACTACAGTCTCACCGTCACTAATGGACTGAAATGTACTTGTGCCGTCATCAGCTATGGAGAATACTGCTGCAACAATGAGCAGCAAGTAGAGTACAAAAGAAGCAAGCACATCTTGGTTGAAGCTTTCAATGGATTTTTCATTAAATTCGTGGGAAAGCAATGAAAATCTAAGACCTCAATTGTTCCCTCTACGCCCTTCTTACATGTATGATTTCGCATTTTTTTGTCATTTTTTACTACAATATTGTTGAATAATTGGGCACATGGGAAGACAAATTGTTCTCCAGTGTGTAACTGAGGAAATTATCGGAAGTAGACCTAGGACTCGGTCCAAGAATGATATTGTCTCAGCAAAATATATAAATTAATATATAGTAGCATTATTGTTGGAAAAATTAGACGAAGAGAGGAGCCCCCACATTTGACTTGAATACACAAAAAATGCCAAAAATGAACTATCAAATAAGAGCATCTCGGATGGGAGAGAGTATGCTTGTAACTGGTTGTACTAGCAAATAAGCCCACGCGTTGATGCGGGAACCATCTGTTTCAGGCGTAATCGGATGAATAAAACATATTTAATTTGAATAAGAATGTCCCCCATGATTTATTCTTCTCGTTTATTTTTCACAAAACCAATCACATATTTAAAATCCAAGTACGAAAGCTTTGCAAAGATAAATAAAAAATTTATATAACTAATTAGACTTTGAACATGCAATCAGGGCACAAAATTGTATACCTAAAAATAGTAAGGAACTGGCTTCTTCCTCCCACAACCAGAGTTCCTGAAATTTCCAAAGAAAGTAAATCTGTTAGCAATTCAAAGAATTGGAGGACCAAATCGTATTAAATTTGAGTTAAATGAGCAAAAGGTACACCAATTAAATGAGATACTAAGCACATGTCGAATCTATGAAATAGAAGAACAATCATGTTAAGACTCCCAAGATGGTGTCCTGAGCACAAAATTATAGGTTAAAGGTAAATCCCAATCCAAAACTCCAACCTTTTAACCGAAAATGAAAACAAAAAGCATGGAACATATATTTGGGTTTTATTATTAGATTTTCTAAATCCTCAATTTGAATGTGTTGTAAAGATAATACCACCAACTAAGGGTGGCAATCTGACCATCGTTGTGCATGTCATGTCGACTCTATGCAACTGAATATACAAAATAAGGATAGCAGCAAAGAGAACCCGTCTCTGCATTTCCACCAATATATACAAAAGGGTCAAAATTTGAGTTTCTGAAGACAAATGACACTTAAAATGGGCTCACCATCTCTTATTACTTATTGGAGTGTATAGTAAGATCAAATATCACATTCATACACAATAATATCTAGTATTAAAGCTCTTTTGAGTTTCACTCCAAAACCTCAAGTTACAGCTTTAGATTATAATGTTCCCCTCAGACAATGATCATTCACATTCAACAAAACCATTCCATCTGCTTCATTGATAAAGATTCATCAGCTATTTAACTCTACAAATAAAATGAACATATAAAATTTTGAATTCAAATCGAATCACACAAACAAATTAGTTATGAATTGAGAACTATACCTTGCATGCATGCCAAAATCCTGCCAAGATAAGAGGTTGGAGTAGCCAAAAACACATTTACACCAAAATTTGGTCCCTGTATAGAATTATAACCACCCTTTTAAATTGTTGATAATTATAACCAAAAGTTGAATGAAAGTACGAATATACCCTTAATTACTAAAATCCTCCTCTTTTGCAATTTTAACGATTTAAGAACTAGCAGTGCTAGCTTCAGTTTTTCCACAATCCTTGCATCCCCAAATTCCATCTGTGTTTCTCTTCTCAGCATACTTGCCACACAATTCATGCACTATTTGATCAATATTAAACACTAATGCATGAATACCTTTCCTTATCTTTTCCTCCCCTGGGTCTTGCGTCTTCTTATACAACTTGCTAAAACCATGCCTTTTGTATTCTTCAATTCGTAAAAAAAAAAATTGCCAGATCCGTACCTTTTACATTCTTGGTCCATAAAAGGAACAAATTAATTAACCTGCAATTCATACAATTAAATAAAAGAACAATAAACCCGTTTATTTTTTTCTTATAAAAACACCAAATAAGCTTTAGATGTAATCAGATTCGTTTTGAAAAGAAAAAAAGACATCAAAAACAAAATAAGAGAGACATTTGAGAAACCCAGCATGGAAGGTCGGTTCCCAAGAGTGGGTGTTTGAGAGTGATGTACTCTGATGTTCCACAGCTACCCAAGAAACCTAACAACAAATTTAAGATCAACACAAAAACCAACAATTATGCATTTGATGTTGTAATCACTTGGTTCAATTGCCTCTGAGTAAAGAGAAGTGTGGTGGTAGTGTTTCAACAATTGGGATAGAGATGAAGAGTTAAAGAAACAAACACTAGAGCTCCAGAGGTAGGAGAAGAAGAGAGAGTTCTGACATACGGGTAATTAAGTCTTTTTAACTTCAATTTTGGCTAGTTTTATAAGAATAAGAAAAGATAGGCTAAATTTCATTAGATGGTTCTCAAAATGGTTATATTTCCAAATTTCTCAAAATTAAAACTAAAATAATTGAAAATCTTAAAAGTTAGAGGCTTTGGGTACCTCTTGTTCGGACAAGGGATTGCACTGCATGAGCTGAGCAATCTGTTCATCCAGGTTCGCATGTGAGTTCGAAGGGACCGAATCCATCCTCTTCCTCTTCCCCCAAAACGCACAAGATGCCCCTCCGAAACCCTAACCTTAGATCTGTAGGCAATCGTAGACTTCCCTCTTCGTCTTCTTCGTTTTTCTTCGAGCCACTCAGAGAGAGAGAGAGTTGGGAGAGAGAGCGGTGGTGGAGAAAATCCTCTCATCTCTGTGCAGCCCATACCATTGCCTGTAAACCCATACTCCCATACCCGTTCCCTTCAATCCTCGCACAAAATCCTCTCATCTCCCTTTCTCTCATCCTTGTCCCATCTCTCTCTGCAAATCGCAGAAATACTCCCATCTCTTTCCCTCGGCGGCAACGAAGAGCTCGTTCTGCTTATTGTACCTGAACGGATGGCGGAAGCTGACGCGGGCCAACGGAGCACCGTGACCGGGATCGTGGTTGATCTCCCTCTCCCTCTCCTATCTCTATCTCTATCTCCATAAGCATGACCTCCCAAATGCGAAACCCTCAGCGAGGGATCCCTACTCCTTTCTCTCCCTCTCTCTCTTTCGCGCTGTCTCCCTCTCCCTCTCTCTATCTCTATCCCAGATTCCCAGAGGCGGCATGGCCTCTCGAACCCAAACCTTCTGCAACGGCCATTCATTAAAGCAATTGCATAGCCGTAAATAGAACAAAAATCGGGTCCAAACCACAAAGGCCACTCTGTAATGCAGTGGCATGGCCGTAATTAAACTGAAATTCGGACCCAAAGGCTGTTCATTTAAACGGAGCCAATATCAAACCTTACTTTAGACTAAAGTAACTAGAAAATAGGCCCGCGCGTTGCAACGGGATTTGAATAAATTCAACACAATCATGAATGAACAGAGCGGCAAAAAATGCAACCAATAAGCATTTAGACAATGTTTTAGATAAAAATTTGAAGCAATAGTTGATAAAGAAAATACAAAACATAATTTTTTATGAGTTAATGATTCTTGCGGGTTCAATATAAACATCCATGAATTAAACTTAATATTTTATGAGTTAATGATACTTGCGGGTTGAAAGTAAATATCCATGAATTTTGCTGAACATGTAAGCTACATTCATGCATTGTTAAAAAGCCACTCATTTTCTTAAATATGGAAGTTGCGATTTGTCTAAAAATATTTCTGGTTCGTTGAGAGAGCGCAGTTATCAACAACACATATTAAAGCACTTCAAGAAGAATGAGAAAGTTCACTACCAGAGCCTTGATTCAAGTGCAATCGCTGCGGACCCCTAGATCAAAGGCAGTAGCAAGAGTAGATCACGATGTTGCGATGATAGTTCGATCTAAACTGCAAAAAAATCAATGAGATTCAGAGTAAGAATTCAAAGCGCAAATAAATGGACAACAGGAAAAATACCTCAATCTGTGACCTCTGATAAAAAAAAATTATGGCCTCTGCTCAATTTAAAACCACATGTAGAAAACTCTGCTCTAATCTGTGCATCACACACAGCATACACATTTTAAAACAAACAATAACAATCACAAAAGAACCAAGAGTGATGGCATAAAAATGTCAGGCATGTGGCATCATCTGTCAATGAACAAAAATCAGATGCATCACGTATTCTAGAGGAATAGATAACTGAGAATTCCATTCACAAGGTCACCACCACAACAATAAACAATAGAAGCATGAACAAAAACATGCAAAACACATACAGTGTGGTTTTTGCAGAGAGGTTGTAACACTGAAAAACCAGTAGAGCAAGAGGAAAAAGAGAAATGGAGAGCAAGGTGGTAGCCAAAAGAGAAAACCAAAGTTATCAAATAGCAATTAGCACAAAATATCTTCTTAGCTCTCCTAATTTAATAATTTAAAAGCATTTGTTGTACTCCAACCAAAAGGTGGAGAACTGAACCACAACTGAACAGTGAACAAACCAGAAGGAAAAAAAAAAGCCTCTTCAATTAGGATCAAACCATAAGTAGCCAAAGAAGAAAAAATTGGTTCGAAACTGAGACTTATCTTTTGAACCAAATGAAACTGCCAGCTGGGGAGAACACCTCATCAATTGTTGTGGAAATGACCTTCATCAATTCTTGTGGAAATGACTTCCAGCTAGAACAAAATTACTGAAAGCAACCCTACCCTCGCCCTCCCTCCCTACCTAGCCATCTCTCTGTGCACCCATTTCCGACAAAAACGCAACCAAGCTTTCAGGCACCCATAACCCTTGATTTGCTCATCCCACCCCTTGTTTCCAAACCACACGACTCTTCCCTCTCTCCTCTTCTCTCTGCCATCCCTTTAGGTCAGCCCTGGTCTTCTCTATGCCATTTCAGCAGGTCAGCCCTGCTCTCTGTCCATGACTCAAGCAAATTGATAGCAACCAAAAATATATAATAAAAAACTAACCACAAAGCAATTTCATAAATTTATATATATAAAGGATCATATCAAAATGGTAAATTCGTCTGCCACAACAATTCATAGCAACCAAACAAACTCAAGGAGCCCAAACACACAAAGCCCATTCTTATAAACCAATGGCATGGATGTAAATAACAATTGCAGCAACATTGCTTTTTGCAGTGCCAAATTCAATTAAGTAATACTCCTAAAAATATACTTATTACATCATAAATACTAATTCTATTTACATCCTTGGTTTCATGAAAGGGAGTTGTTAGTGATACTGTAAAAAATTTATTGCATTGTCAGCTGAATACATATGTAAAACAAAGCAAAGTGAAAGAACACAGTTTAATAGTCCAATGAATTAAAAAAATCAGAAATGTGAGTTTTCACAAACAATTACTAAATTAATAATGGATGTAACAACTAACTGACCATCCTAAATCTCCAGCTTAATTCTGTGAGCCACATTGTTTGATATCTGTAGTTTATTGTCATTCAGCTTCACACATGTTTGAGTAGGGGACTCCATGAAAGCTACAATGTCCATAAAATGTAATTATTACTAATTATAAGCAATGTAATCAAACATAATGGTACGATCTAGTTTTATTCCTTTCCACAAAGCTCTCAGGTTCGACTCTTATGAAATGTTGAGTTCAATACAAATTATTAATGAAAGAAACACTCCAGCATCTTTTGAGTTTAAGTATTACTACTTAAACATGTTAACACACCCATAAGCTAACTAATTTTAATTAGTCTTTGATGCACTTTCTATGTACTTATATGAAGAACCAACAGAGTGAGTAAAAACAAATTCTTAGTAAAAGAATTAGCCAATTCTAATTAACAACTACTAATCAAACTGCAAAAGCAACATATGAGTTTTTCTGGCTTGAAAGTTCAAACATAGAACCAAAATAATCAAAGGTCTTCATATGCATTATGAGAAAAAACTCATTACGGTATCAGAAATCATAACTTAAAGCTAAACCAAAAAAAGTAAGAGACACAATTGATGTTCTTTATGTCCATCTAAGAGATGGGCAAGCAAATTTTGTGAAGAAAACACCTGCTGGTTTGTCCAACCTGAGAAGATATTAAGTTCTTATTGAAGATTCATTGCTTGAGTGGTTTATTTATTTAAGTGATTTCTATTTTTTTGAGAAAATGATACCGCCATAAAAATTATAAAAAAAAAATACATAACAGCGCAATCAAATCATTTTTTTATGTCCTATACAGTCTGGTTGAAGGTGCCCAAATCAAAACAAAATGGATATCTGCAGACTTGCTTGCTCTAAGGACACAACGATTTCCAACTTTAGTAGAATCACATCAAACTCTATCAATTACTTCTGAAATAGTAAAAAACCATGAAATTGTGTAGTCACTAAAGACCTAAATACTGAAATCCCAAAAGAAAAACAACCCAATTCATAAATTAATGAATGAAAGGAGTATAAAGTTCAATCATACACTAAGAAGAGTGAGAAAAGATGTAGAAAGTCTTCTCATAAGAAAATTTGTATAAATTAATAATTTAGTCCTTCTCGGGCTTAAAAATACCATGTACTACACACATTAATGTAATCAATAGCTCAGATAATTCAGGAGGCGAAAACCAAAAGCCAAATTTTTTCATTTCATGCATTGAAAACAGACTCTTCAGTCTATACAGTCCAAAAGGATATAATACTACCTGAGGACCCTCAGATCACTTGAAAGTGTATCCCAAGTGTGAAGGCTGTCAGCGAAATCGAACTCCTGGGTTAAGAGGAGGGTGATCCACTTAAATGCATAAAATTGGGATTGACCTTTCATTTAAATAGAAGCCCAGTCAGTCTTGTATAAAGAAATATGATATTCTCAAATAACCATGAAAACCTTAAGGTGATGAATATTTAAGCAGCATTTTACTACAATTGGTCACCAAAAACATATATTGGAGAATCAAATTGAAAAATCCAACATAACCCAAATTTACATCAACAAACAAAAGATGCTACAACAAAGAAAAAGAGAGCCAAGAACAGAATTTTACTTCATCTATGCTGATAACTGTCTGAGAACGAAACAAAGACTAATTGGAATGCAAAAAATAATGAGGTGAAATCAGCATACGGAAGTGTTATTAAAGTGAAATTATCCACTATGGTTTGACATATGGATAATTTCGTCTAAGAAAGAGAAATAAGCATATGGAAGCGTTATATACATATATATAGAGTTTTTGCGCTAATTTATTGTGTATTGGGAAAGAAAATAATGTAGTTATCATTACTTATTGGTTTTGAATTTGGGTGTCCGGAAGACTTAATATTTGGTTTAGTTTGTGTAGTTTTTTTTTTTGGGTATCTTTGTTTTCTTCTAATCATGCAATTTCACGTTGTATGTTTGAATGCTTTTGTTTCAAAAGACCTGACAAAAATGAGAAAAGAGAATGGAGACCTTATGGCATGTTGTTGGTTGAATGCTATATGAGAATACAGAAAGGCCAAACCTTCGGGAGTTATTTTAAGTTAAAAAAATATCGATGCATCAAATACACTTAATGCACACTCCCAAATGCAGTCTTCATGTTCCCATCGCAACACTATGCATCTAAATCCTATACTCAATTCATAAAGGTTATGAAGACCCCATCAATTAAGGGAATATAATTGCAATATGCATTATTAGTTGATATCAACCATGCATATCTCACACAACTAAGAATGCAGGGCCAAAACCAGAGTATACTTACATAGGTGTTATTTCCTATTTGCATTTTGATAAGTCTCATGTTTTAGCAATCATCCAGCATCCCACTCATGGCATAATTGTTTGTGGGATGACACAACCCATGACACAACTGGAGTCTAATTCTACAGAACCAATGACACTAAACAATCCAAAATTAACGGATTACAGTGACAACATTCCAACAAAAGAAAGAAAAACCAAAAAAATTATCTATTCTAAAGTAATTTAGTTCCATCATGCATAAATCAAGGTAGTCACGTAAGGCTACTATCTGTAGTAATCCCTCACACAGTGCAGCCCCCTAGCAATCTAACAAAGAAAGATTTATGTAAAAAGAGAAAAAGAAAAAGAGCTTTAAATGCGAGTTGTTTGGTGTGGTTTTCGTTTTCTCTTCTCTTACAAACTAAGCATACATCTATCTATCCATCAAAGCTATGCTGAACTCAATTTTGCTCTGAAATCTCTATTTTAGACTTAGTATCGAGAAACAAAAAGACTTATATGCA